GACACAAGCCAGGTAGGCGTGGCGGGGCGTGGCGGGGCGCCGGGCCTACAAAGAGGATTGTGGACAAGTGCGAGGGGGATGAAAAGGGGTTGAGGATCTCCTAGAAAAGAAAAGGAAGCGAAAAAGGGTTTCGGCGAAAAAAGAGAGAGAGAAGGAAAATGGCGGGAAGAGAAACAAACAGACAGACTGCAAGCACGCTGGCAAGCTCCGCGGGCGAAAGCTGAACTATATTCGGCCCGCCGTCGCGTCGCCCTGTCAGGACCTCGGCGTCTCTTCCCGGCCATGTGAGCATCGAGGGAACAAACTGGGGGTGGGGCAGGTATTTCCAGCAAACTCGCGAGATGCGGTTACCCCGTGTGAGCCTGCCTCCGCGGTCTATTTAAACTCTGTCGCGGGGGCCGCCGGGGCCAGGCAAAGAAAACGCGCCGTGTATTTTCAGCGGGCCTTGGGCCCTGGGCCCTGAGGCTTGGGGCCGGGTCGGCTCCGCCGTGGCCTGGCCGGTGTAGGAGGCGAACTGTACCCGTCGGCGCAGAGTACCCCCGGGTGCACAACGCCTAGGGCCATAGTACCCTGGGGTACATGACGACTAGGTTCAATGTACCCAGGGGTACAAAGCGCCTAGTTGCTAGGCAATTGCCCCGGGTACAATGCGGCTGGCGAAATGTCCCGGGTACATTTTGCCTAGGCTTATTGTACCCCCGCCGGCCGGAGGAGGATGCACGTCGCCTAGGGCAATGCATCCCCCCGGTACAAAGAGCCTAGGCGAGGAGTATCCCTCGGCCGGCCGGAGGGGGATACAAAAAGCCTAGGCGCAATGCCCCCCCCCCGGAACAAAAATCAAAAAAAAAAGAAGAAAAGAGAGGGGCACTTCTCCCACCTCCGAGATCGGAGGGCCGCCTGCAACTTCGGTGGATGGGGGACCGGTGCTTACAGGCGGCGACCCCAGGGGTTCGTCGTATATGGGCCGGGCTTGAAGGGCGGGTTTGACAGTCTCTCTCTGCCTTGAGAGCATTGCTTCCGCGGGGTGGTCTGTACCAAATGTACACCCGCTGTCCGGCGCTCTCTACCAAACATACCTTCACTGTAACGGAGGTGCTTACCCCTGTTTTCAAGCGTAATTAGTTTACGCTTGAAATCAAGCGTACAGGCTCATTCGCCAAGATTTCCCCTATCTAAATGCAGGTGGGAATTTCCAGACTATGTTGATTTCAAGCGTAACGTCTTCAAGCGTAACTTTATGCTTGACTCAAGCATAGAGTTACGCTTTAGTTTTACCAGTGTTGTTTAAGGGCCAGCTTCAAAGGACTTATCATCTCCTCCCGACGAATCAGGAGGACCCACCCGCGACCAATTACGGGTGGCTGGATTGACGGATCAAATACTCCGTCGCTCCAGTGCCGGGCCAACCCGCCGAAGCGCAGCTGCTTTTTAGACACCCCAGCGGAGTGGCCAGGTGAATGTGACTCTGACCACTACGCTATCAAGCTTGTACGTCTGGCGTCGTGTTGGACAACGGGTTTGAGTTGCAGTGGAAGGAAGCCAGTCGAAAAATGTAATGAAATGATGGGAGTCGATCCCAGGACCCTACTGCCGGGACCGCACGACTTTTGCCGCTCGCCCACCACAGCCCATGACGAATGGAGCGGCGTGAGGCGGGCTCTTGACGCGACAGGAATGGACCGACCCGGTCAAAATTTCACAAGAAGTTTGGGGAGTCGAACCGCCGACCTCAGCACGGAGAAGCGACGCCTCTACTCCCTAGACCATCACGGCACATGCAGTTCGTTGGCTGAAGTCACGGTTTTCAACCACACTGGGCGAGGCAGTAAAATTAAATGTTAATGTTTGTTAGGAATCGAACCCCCGACGTGTGGGACTGTTCTACACGGCTCCGCTCTGGTGGCCTCGAACCGTTCCACAAAAGAAAGGAAATCGAAAAAAAATTGAGATGCCGGTATTCGAACACCGCACTGTGCAAATGCGATCGAACGTCTGTAACATTTGCACAGTGCGGTGTTCAAATACCGGCATCTCAATTTTTTTTCGATTTCCTTTCTTTTGTGGAACGGTTCGAGGCCACCAGAGCGGAGCCGTGTAGAACAGTCCCACACGTCGGGGGTTCGATTCCTAACAAACATTAACATTTAATTTTACTGCCTCGCCCAGTGTGGTTGAAAACCGTGACTTCAGCCAACGAACTGCATGTGCCGTGATGGTCTAGGGAGTAGAGGCGTCGCTTCTCCGTGCTGAGGTCGGCGGTTCGACTCCCCAAACTTCTTGTGAAATTTTGACCGGGTCGGTCCATTCCTGTCGCGTCAAGAGCCCGCCTCACGCCGCTCCATTCGTCATGGGCTGTGGTGGGCGAGCGGCAAAAGTCGTGCGGTCCCGGCAGTAGGGTCCTGGGATCGACTCCCATCATTTCATTACATTTTTCGACTGGCTTCCTTCCACTGCAACTCAAACCCGTTGTCCAACACGACGCCAGACGTACAAGCTTGATAGCGTAGTGGTCAGAGTCACATTCACCTGGCCACTCCGCTGGGGTGTCTAAAAAGCAGCTGCGCTTCGGCGGGTTGGCCTCGGCACTGGAGCGACGGAGTATTTGATCCGTCAATCCAGCCACCCGTAATTGGTCGCGGGTGGGTCCTCCTGATTCGTCGGGAGGAGATGATAAGTCCTTTGAAGCTGGCCCTTAAACAAGCTGTATGTTTGGTAGAGAGCGCCGGACAGCGGGTGTACATTTGGTACAGACCACCCCGCGAAAAGCAAAGGCTCTCAAGGCAGAGAGAGACTGTCAAACCCGCCCTTCAAGCCCGGCCCATATACAGACGAGAACCCCTGGGGTCGCCGCCTGTAAAGCACCGGTTCCCCCGATCCACCGAAGTTGCAGGCGGCCCTCCGATCTCGGAGGTGGGAGAAGTGCCCCCCTCTTTTCTTCTTTTTTTTTCGATTTTTGTATCCGGGGGGGGGGGGGGATGCATTGCGCCTAGGCTTTTTGTATCCCCCTCCGGCCGGCCGAGGGGATACTCCTCGCCTAGGCTCTTTGTATCCGGGGGGGATGCATTGCGCCTAGGCGACGTGCATCCTCCTCCGGCCGGCGGGGGATACAATAAGCCTAGGCAAAATGTACCCCGGGGTACATTTCGCCTAGCCGCATTGTACCCGGGGTACAATTCGACGGGTTCGAAGAATATAACGCTAACTCGGAGCGCATCCGGACACTGCGCTATCTCGGACTGCTGCACTACACTACGCTATCTCGACACCCAGCTCCACCTCGCGATTTTGAAGCCTCATGTTTAAGAGAATAACGCCTGTAAGGACGCAACGACGTGTTTTTATTGAAATATAGGTTGGCATCAGTGCTAGAAACAAGTTTGAACCTTTTACTCTCAATAGTTTCGTAAATATCGCATGTCAAAGTAGGCGCCCGAAATGGCGACTCGAGATAGTGCACTATAGTGCTACAGAGCGAGATAGCGCAGTGTCCAGATACGCTCCGAGTTAGCGTTATATTCCTCGAACCCGTCGAATTCGCCTAGCAACTAGGCGCTTTGTACCCCTGGGTACATTGAACCTAGTCGTCATGTACCCCAGGGTACTTTGGCCCTAGGCGTTGTGCACCCGGGGGTACTCTGGGTCGGGGGGGTACACTTACACGCCGACACCGGCTCGACGGGCGCCACTTGAGCTGCCAGTGTCCCTCCGTGCCGCTGCGCCGCCAGTGTCACGTGGCTAATCGTGCCTGTCATGTGGCTGCAGCCCGACCCGGCAGATCCAGCAGTGTAGTGGCCGGCCAGCGTGGCAGCGTCGCCATGCGCCTTCCCTCCCCCCCCCCTCTCTCTCTCGCACCCGCGCGGAATGGCCCACCGAGTGCGAGAGAGAGAGAGAGAGAGAGAGAGAGAGAGAGAGAGAGAGAGAGCTGTTCGGAAGCAGCCCGCAGCGCACCTTGGCGATTTTCGGACCGGCGGAGAACACCACTACTGAGGCGAGCGAGGGCGCGTCGGGTTGCCGGCCCCGGCCTGCCTGCTACCTTCGACGGGCTGCTCGGAGCGGGTCGCCCGGTCACCGCTTCGCCAACGGCGGCGGCCTCGGTTAGTACCACGACAGGGCACGCGGACTAATCAGGAACAAGGACAAGGGCAGCCCCAGCCCCAGGCGCGTAGGAACGTCAAAAAAGATGGGGTGTGTGTCTGTGTGTCAATGTATTGCATGTTGCCTACCTCGCAGGGGATTGACCAGGGGCAGCTGAAAAACTGGGGGGTCAGCTGACCCTCTGACCCGGTGCTTGCTACGCCACTGGGCAGCCCTCTCGAACCGCCATGGCATCGCCAGGGCATTCTTCTCCTCCTCCGGCTGCTGCTTGTGGACCACATCATGCAAGGGGCCCCGGGCGGCGGCTCAGGCGGAGTCCGCAGTGAAGGCGGTGGGGACTGGGGACAACAACTAGGCCATCCTCGCGAAAACGCCCCGAAATTGGCGGAAAAATTACTTTTCCCTTCTTCCTCTCCTCTCCTCCCCCTGCCACACAGCATCAGGCGTCCCGATCGGCGATCTGGCGCATCTACCCCCTCCCCCCTTCTTCCAGAGCCCGCGCCGACGGCAAGCATTCACAACCCTAAAGGGCACTGCGGAAATCAAGCAGGCCTCGTGGAAAGGCCTCTTTGATTTCTACGAGGCCTGCTTTTAAAGTGTATACTGAAGTGATGAACGCTTTGCCACCGCCAGGCGGCGCGGCTCGCCAGTTCCAGTCTACGGTGTAGGTCCAATACTCCCCGCGATAACTCCCGGGCGGCCCGCCCGTCGACGGCGAAGCACGGCATTCACTCCGAGCGTCGCTCCGTCCCTCTCGCACTCATGGGGCGTCCCGCAGCGTCCCGCAGAGAGGGCATCGTCTGCACCGTCGCTGCGGCTCGCCATGAACGCCGCCAAAGGTAGGGGACCGCCCTGGAGAGCGCGGTCGCCGCGCAGGACAAGAAACAAATTGGGGTGCAGAGATATTTAAAAAAAATGTAACATGACTTATATTTGACTTTGGTACGAAGGGAAGTAGAGTTGGTAGAAAAGAGTACAAAAATAACACGTCTGACACTCACACATAATACTGGTAACATTAGTCGATTAAGGTCCTGACTTTGCTGGGATAGAAACCACGCTACGCATAACATCATTAGAGTAGCCCCCCGAAACCCGCGGGTTGCCTTGGATGATTTTCTTCTTCAGTGCAACGAAAAACAACAACAAACAAGTGCACCGTCAACAGGGTCTACGACGGTCTACGACGGCACGCCCACGACGGAGAGCTCGAGCGCGGTGAGGCCGCCGGGGCCGTTGTAGGCCAGCTGGTAGTCGCGCACGTACATGATGATGGACAGGGGCTGGCCGATGACGATGGTGAACCAGACCACGGCGTTGCCCCACCGGACGCCGAACTTTCGGCACACCCACTCGCTGAAGTCGCCGATGGGCATCTGCAACAAGGAACCATGTTGTTGCTGTCGTCAAACAAAATGAGAACGAGTCGGAGCAGGAGCGGCCAGGTAAGGAAAAAAAACATATACACGCGCGGCAAAGAAGACATTATAACGAGCAATGACCGCATGAAGTCTCATTAACTCCGGCCTGAATTACGCGCGAGGCGCCCCGCCCCGCCCCGCCCCGCCCCGGATGGCAGCGGGATAAAAAGCGGGGAGGAAAAAAAAAGTCAACACGCACCGGGAAAACGGGGCAGGAGACAAAAGGAGCGCGGCACGGCCTTGGGCACGGCGGGCACGGGCAAATTGAGCGAGATGGCACTGCGCGGGGCGACACGGCGGCGTGGCTCGGTCGTGGCGGTCGCGGCGGCGAGCGAGACGCACATCGTGCAGTGCAGGCGACACCACACTCCAGCGGCCGAGCGAGCGGAGCGGCTCCAGCGGAAAAATGACGCAAGATAAAAAGGGGAGTCGGGAGTGCACTTGACTTTGGCAACGGGGACGCGGTGACAGTGACGGCACTTTGGGTACCGTCACTGGACAGCACGACAGCGAATATGTCATGAGGGGAACCAGGAGGGGAACCGGCGGAAGATGTGGTGCATTCAGTCAACTGTGGCGGAGCGGCGTCCAAAGGAAAGTTGAACAGCCTCAGTGGAGAGGCAGAGAGAGAGAGAGAGAGAGAGAGAGAGAGAGAGAGAGAGAGAGAGAGAGAGGGGGGGGGCATTGCTAAAGCCACGAGGGGAATGGGCGGCGTACCTCGCCGCGACCTGAGCGCGATGACGTCACCAACAGGAACCACAATCGCAGCAAGCCACAACTTTTGTTCATATTTTTTTCTGTACTTTCTATACTTTTTGTGCCAGTGTGTCGTTTCAATTCCACGGGCCAGCAGTCGCCGAATTGCAGTGCCCCCGCACACGCACACAGCAGGCACGCTGCGGCCCATAGGTTCCCATTGGTTGCCATTCCCGCTGCGGCTGTTGCCCGGCCGAAATGAATCCCCGACTTGTTTATACGACCATATAATCTGGGTGCGCGATGCGCCAGCCCGGTCCGCCCGCCACCCCAAACGCTCCGGCCGGCGGCCCCGGTAGCACGGGGAGGGGGAGGGGGAGGGTGCATTTCAAGCTCCTACACCACCTCTAATCCCCACAGCCCAAAGAAGTGAGAGGAGCGTGAAAACATCGACGAGGGATGCAGGAGGCAGGTGGACGGAAGGCGGGCGCGCCACAGTGGGCCAGAAGACCGGTGGAGGCGGACAAAACTCTAGACGTGTTTTGAGCTCCAGAGTCTCTAAATGGGACTCGAACCGAGTGTGTGACCCCGCCAATGGATTCCTCTCCGAACGAGGAATCCATTGGTGGGGTCACACTTTCGGTTCGAGTCCTGTTTAGCGCCTCTGGAGCTCAAAACGCGTCTAGAGTTTTGTCCGCCTCCACCGGTCTTCTGGCCCACTGTGCGCGCCCCTGCACGGCCCCGGCCCTGCCACACTGCGGCCTCGGGGGACACCGCGTCCGACGCGCCATCTCGGAGAGCCGCTCCGTCGCACTCCTCCTCCCACGCCCCTGCAGGGCGCCCCGCGAGTGCGAGAGAGACGCTGCGGCTCCTGGGAACCAGCCCGCAGGTGCAAAACACCCCGACCGTCCTCCAGCCGCCTCCAGCTGCCTCCAGCTCCAGCACCCTGCATTGAGCTGCGCCGTACTGGAAGCCTTGCTGGAAGCAGTGGCCGGCCGGCCCCGCGCCGCCCCGCGTCGCGTCGGGTTGACGACCTGGCCGGCCGTCCGCCTGCCTGGGCAGCAGCCCGACAGACCGCCACGATCAAAAGGTCCAAATAGCACTTGGCGCTACGCAAGGCCAGTCGGAACCGCGAATGCACGACCCGGAGTGGGCGATGACGTAATATCTGAGCGGCAATTGTTTTGAAGGGCGGCGCGCGAAGCAGCGACCGCCGCGCCCCGCCAAGACCCTGGTCGTCGTGGTGGTGACGCGGTGACGCACCTGGGCGACCATGGCGAGGAAGGCGTAGACGCGGAACATGCGGATGGGCGGCGACACCAGGTACTCGTGGAACACGCCGCTGAACACGAACGTGGCCCACTTGGCGACGGTCTTGGTGTAGCCGGCGCGGCGCATCGGCAGGTACAGGTGTCTGCAACAGCGAGAGCCTTGTTTCGACATCGCTACTTCCGACTCGCGGCAAGCAGAGCGGAGGCCGGAAGCACCCACCTGACACACCAGTAGTGGACGGGCAGGTTCCAGCGCCGCCAGTACACGTTCATGTCCTCCGAGTCCCACCAGTTGTCGTACGAGCGGCGGTCCGCGAAGCGCGTCAGCTCGCTCACCAGGATCATGTTGACGTGGAAGAGCTGGTAGAAAAAGACGAGCCACACCAGGTTGGTGGGCACCTGCAGCAGGCAGAGCAAGTCAGACAAACCCCCGGCAAGGCGCTTGGATCCACAGTGGGCCAGAAGACCGGCTCTCCTCGTTCGGAGAGCAATCCATTGGTGGGGTCACACGTTAGGTTCGGAGTCCCATTTAGCGACTGTGGAGGTCAAAACGCGTCCGGGATTCTGACCGCCGCCACCAGTCTTCTGGCCCACTGTGCGACCTAGTCTGGTTTCCCCGCAGTCCACTTACGGCGATCTTCAGCAGGCGCTCGGCAACCACGGACCACTCATTCCGCTGCAAACATCAACAAATGCCGTTACAAAAAACATCCCAGAGATTTTTCGAATATTTTTTTAAAAATCTGACTGGCCGACAGTCTGTGAATAAGCAGGCGGGCACTTCCCCTGACGAGCCTTTCCTCTGTGGGCCCTGCCCTGCCCTGCCCCTTTTATTCGATCCCCACTGCCCTCGTGGCCCAGGACCCTGGACCGACTGGGGCTCCGACCCCGCCGAGCCCCCCGGCGGCGCCCCCGCGGCACAGCGGGCCTTTCACGCCACCCCGCCCCGCCACAGCACTGCGTCCTTTTATTAATATCTCTTTATTTGCATTTATTTTCCTCACGCCGCCGTGAATGCGATGCTAGCCGGTCACGGGAAAAAAATTGACAAAAATAACAAAAAGAAAGGCCAACAACAGCAAAAACTCGGCGCGGCGAACGAAAACGATAAAGGCAGATACATTTGGCGCTCCGTCCCCCTGCCACCACATTCAAAGCGCGCGGGCCGGAACGGGCCGGAACCGGCGCAGGAAGTATCGATAAAAGAACACAAACGAAGCCAACCAAAATTGGCGGGGAATGAGTGTCGGAACGGAGTGGCGGAACGGAGTGGCGTGGCCGAGGTATGGACTGACTGGCTGGCTGCCGCTGCCTGCACTGCTAGAGAATCGCAGGCTGTATCCATGTTCCCCCGATCCGCCCGCCATCTTGAAGCGAACCGAAGGATTTGTTTTCCCTCGTTGCTTCTTAACTCTTGAAAGTTAAAAGGTTATAGTGAGCGAGCCGATTGCAGATCTCTGGTCGCGTCGCTGACTAGACCCCTTGACTTCAACGGCCCCGCTGGTCTTAACACGGCGGACTGAAGGCGACCCCTCGTTATGCCCCAACACGTATCCTGGCAATGCGTGCTCACCGCGATGGGGCCGGCCACGGCGGTGAAGGACGGGATGAGCCACTGCTGGATCATGGCGGCGTGCAGCGTGCCCACCACCAGCAGCATCGCCGCGCGCACCGCCACCCTCCTGGGGACAGAGAGGCGGTTCGTTAATGGTGGGCAGGGCCTTGGCAGGGCAGTTCGCGGCGCGTGCTGCACGGCCTCGCCTTCCCACCTCCAGTTGATGCTGGGCTTGCGCGGGTAGTCCATCTCGTAGCACAGCGTGGGCGCCACCGTGAAGTAGGCCAGGTTGCCGACGGTCAGGTTGTCCGGGTACACGGTCTCCTTGACGTCCGGCGCCACCGGGCTGCCGATGGAGGCCGTCATCGTCGTGGTGCCGTCGCCGACACCTGCAGCAGGCAAGATTAAAATGACTATCGCACAATCATCCTTCATCCAGCGGCAGGGACTAGTTTGGGGCCGACGGCGCGGCGGGGCGCCGGTCGAAGGAAAGGACACGCTGCAAAGTGGGCGGTGCAAACTTTTCGCCACCTAAAACTTGTAATCTCATTTACTAGCGGCCCCCGGACGAGCCCCCTGCCGCTGGGCCGCGCGGCCGCGCCCATCCTCCCTCTCTCTCCCTCTCCCCGGCAGTGCTGGCTGGCAGTGCTGGCTGGCAGTGCTGGCTGGCAGTGCTGGCCGGCAGAGCTGCCATCGGACATTTCTGTGGACATTCCTGCGGCCCTGCCGTCCCGCTGCCCCTCATGTCGGCGGCGGCGGATATCTGTGCGCCCCGCCCCGCCCCGCCCCGCCCCGCCCCCGTTCGACGTTCGACCCCGCCGGCGGCCGGTCGGCCGATGGGACAGGAACCGCGGCCCGTTTCACACAGGCGTGGCGCCCTGGAGGCGATTAACAATCCGAGGCGAGGCGGTGCTCGGGTGATGAAGCGTCGGCCTTAAAAGGGATGGAAACAAATAGAGCAGCCGCGCCGCCCCGCCCGCAGTGCCCTAACCAGCTTAAATTCGCGCGAAGTGGCGGGCGATTTGAATGTCAGCCCGGCCGGGCCGGGCCGGGGCGCCGTGTGTGGTGGGGCACACTCCACTGCAGGTCGGGCAGGCACACTCGGCGCCGCGGCCCCAGCTGCCTGCCACCCCCTCCCCACAAGAGGCACTTCCCCCGCATATTATTTCACGGCGCCAACCACGGGCATTAGTCATCAATTATTCGAGCCTCGGCGCTGCACTCTGCCGGCCAGAGGTCGCGTCACCGCCACCGCCACCGGCACCACCGAAGAGGCGCCGAAAGGAAAACGGGACCGCGCATTTTCAAACGGGAAAATGAAAATGTTGGAGACGAGACTCACCGTTCTGGGCTTGCTGGGCTTCATGCCGCCGCTTGTCTCGGGCCCACCAGCACGCGTGCACGAAGGACCACATCTTGAGGAACACCATGGCGTTGAACTGGCACACGCAGTAGCCGCCCACTGCAACAAGTTATTTCATTACGTTTTCGGCTCGGCTCCGCCCTGGCCTGGCCCTGGCCAAGCGGGGGGAACGTACCGGAACGCCGGCAACACCAGCAACAACAACAAGCCGGCCTCTTACATCGGCCCGCGCTGCTGGCGGCCTGCTGGCGGTGGCAGAGCGCAATTAAAAACTAGGCGAGGGAGACAGCGCCACACTTTTCTAAATTAATGACCAGCCTCGCGTGGGCATTAACGGGAGAGAGAGAGAGAGAGAGAGAGAGAGAGAGAGAGAGAGAGAGAGAGAGAGAGGAGAGAGAGAGAGAGAGGGAGAGAGAGAGAGAGAGAGAGGAGAGAGAGAGAGAGAGAGAGAGAGAGAGAGAGAGAGAGGGAGAGAGAGAGAGATGGAGAGAGCGAGCGAGAGAGAGACAGAGAGAGAGAGAGCGAGAGCGAGAGATAGAGATAGATAGATAGATAGATAGATAGAGAGAGAGAGAGAGAGAGAGAGAGAGAGAGAGAGAGAGAGATGGAGATAGGGGAAAGAGAGCGCGCGGTGGCGGCGCGAAGGGGTTAAATTAAGGAGAGGAGGGACAAGCACGGCAGCCGGGCCGAGGATGAGGGTTCTCGATGTAAACAAAGCGCCTCCCCCCCTTTCCCCCCTCGCGACGTGCAGCCGCCCCAATTATTTAGTAATTGGAGTCAAACCGCAGAGCCGCGTTTAATATTTCCGCGCGAGACGAGACGGGACAATGGCTCGGCGGAAACTTTGCGAGGTCTGGAGGGGGGCGATCACCGCCTGTCTCTCTCGCGCTGCAGCGGAGCTTCCCGCGAGAGCGAGAGAGACGGCGCGACGCACAGACGCACAGAAGACCGGTGGAGCGGCCAAAATTCGAGACGCGTTTTGAGCTCCAGAGTCGCTAAAGAGGGACACCAACCGAACGTGTGACCCCACCAATGGATTCCTCGTTCCGAGAGCGATCCATTGGTGGGGTCACACGTTCGGTTCGAGTCCCATTTAGCGGCTCTGCAACTCAAAACGCGTCTATCTATAGTTTTGGCCGCTCCGCCGGTCTTCTGGCCCACTGTGCGACGACGCGGCACTTCGCGCTGAATCCTTTGGCCTTCGGGAGGCGGGCACGTCTGAGGCTGCAGTGTCCTCGTGCGATAATCGAACTCGTGATGGTGCGGGTCGACCCGTCGCAATGGTGCGGCCGCGTGCTTCGTCCGAGTGGGCTGAGTGGGCTACTCACCGATGCTGATGGCGTCCCCGGCCAGCCAGATGCCTGCGATGGGGTAGGCGAAGTGCCACAGCATGTTCACGACGTGGGCCTTCATGCCGTCCCGCTCGGGCACCAGCTCCTGCAACACGACAAGGCTGAGGAACGCGGCGCGCGACGCGGCGCTGCAGCAGCCGAGGCATCGGGATTGGCTGGCCCATTAAACTGAGCCATTCCCCAAACGCCGTTCACGCCCCACTAGAATGCCGCACCCCGCCGCCCCGCCCCGTGTGTCCGATTAGAAATCGGAATGCGGTTGATGCAGCCTTGGCATGTCTGTCTGTCTGTCTGTCTGTCTGTCTGTCTGTCTGTCCGTCCGTCCATCCGGCCGGCCTGCATTCCGGATAGGGACACAGCGCGCAGCCCGTTTTTCCTTCTGCATGTTTGCTGCTTGTTTTCCCCGCTTTCCCCCTCATTTTCCTTTATTTCCTTTTCCCAATGGCCGCTTTTTCCAGCGCTCATTAACGGCAGCAGATGGTCGGCGCGGCTCGGCGCGGCACGGCCTGGCGACACGAGAACGGCGAGCACGGCCGATCGGGGCAATATCGGCCGAGGGCGTTGCAGAGCCACGCCGGGGAACACATTTACCGCGCATTTTCTTTTTTAAAAAACAAAAACAAAAGGAATACACGGGGCGCGGCGGACGGACCGGACAGCCCGCCGAAACACATTCGCCGACCAAGTTCGGCGGGGAACACAAAAGGTGGGCCTCCCCTCTCCCCTTCCCCGACACGAACGACGAAAAGTCATTACCCAGGAAATATACAAACAAGTCACATACACGCGGCGCGCACACGCGCGCCGCACGAATGCGACGCACGGTGCATGCGTGTGCGACGTGCGCGCCTATACCATTTTCAAAAACTTACCAGAGCGATGGCCTTTTCGATGCCCAGCGCGACAAATATCTGCACCGGCATGTCTGCAACACAAATCATTTGCATGCCATTGAAAATATGCGTCGGGGCCACAGAGGGACTCACACACACACACACACACACACACACACAGACACACACAGACAAACGCAGAGGCCATTAGGACGGGGGCCATACATGCCGGGGTGCAGCTGCACGAGGGGGCCTGGCCTGGTCCGGCCTGGCCAGCAGCAGGGTGCCGCAAGGGCTCGGTCATTTGGCGGAGAGAGAGAGAGAGAGAGAGGGAGAGAGAGAGAGAGAGAGGAGAGAGAGAGAGAGAGAGAGAGAGAGGAGAGGGGGGGGGGCGCACACTCACACAGCGGCAACGACAACGCGAAAACGGACTGGCCAAACACGGGCGCTGGCGTTACTCAAGGGCTGAGGGCGCCGCGAGTCTCAACCCGCCCCGGCCCGGCCCGCTCCAGGGTCCAGGCTCCAGGTCCTGGAAGGGAGGGGGTGAGGGAGTATCGACTAGGCTCATTAGCAGGATCGCTGGAGCGGCCCGTGGAGACCGCCGTGGAAAAACAACAACTTTTAATGAGAGCACCGATTATTATTCCTCTTTGGCGGGCGGAGGGGTGGGTGGTGGGGTGCGGAGGGCGGCGTTGGCTCAAACTGTATCAAGAAGGCAGCCGATCGGGCGAGGATATGAAAGCAGGAGAGCCAATAAACAAATAAATAAGGGGCGAGGAATTTCATCAAATCCGATCCGATCCGGCACCCCAGCGGGGCCTCGGGCTGCCTCGGGCTACCCCGGGCCCCACCCCGGACCACCGCCACGGCGCGGAGTCGCGCTACGGGGCCGGGACTGCCGGGAGTCACACATCTCCCCATCGGCTTCCGAAGAGCCGAGCCGCCCTGCCGAGTGTCGTGTCGTCTTGGGGCCGCGGGGCGGGGCGGGGCGGGGCCACCCCCAGCAGATCACGGCCACGGCGGCCGCGTCCCCTGCCACCCATCGACTAGCACTCGTCGGAGTGGGACAGAGCGACAGAGCACGCTGAGTCTTCTCTCTCTCTCTCTCCTTCGTCGACAGCGCCACGACACCACCACGGCGGAAGTGACCGAGCCCTCCTTGGCGGTCCGGAGTCCGGAGCGTCCGGAGCGGCCCGGCCGGCCGGCATAGCGCGCCGCCCCGCGCGGTCGGCGGATGTCAACAGTCCTAATTAGGTCTCCTGTCACTGCCGGCGGGGCGGGGCGGGGCGGGGAGGGGCGGGGCGGCAGAAGGGAGGCTGTATCGCAGAAGCAATGTGCAGTGATGCGCACGCCGGCCGCCTCCCCCAGCCTCGCAGAGCCTCCAGCCTCGCCCCGTCCCTCGCGCACCCACTGGCCAGCCCGTGCGGGTGCGAGAGAGACAGCGCTCTGGCCGGCGGGCTGCGGCTCAGGCCGGCCGGCCGGAACCGGCCCCCCGGGAAGGCCCCTGGCCGCCCCTGGCCGCCCCTGGCCGCAGGGAGGAAAAAAAGGACGCCAGAAGGGCATTAATTGCGAAGCCCTCTGAAGGGAAGAGAGCGGCAAGGAATAACTAGCCAGGGGAAGGCCTTCGGCCTCGATGCTGAGCTACTCTTAGTCGCGGATTGATTTGCATTTACGGTAGAATTTCTCAATGTTTGAAGCTTTGTCTTTCGTAATGTTATGCAAACATGTATTGTGTAATGTTAATGACAATGGTTGGATGGCAACACATTGTCAGTAGTTCGAGACCTCAAGATCCTAACAACACATCATCTACTCCTCCTGAAGGTTCCACTGCCAGGGATAGATTTAATCACAGAAATCAACAAGTTACTCCCTTAAGGAAATGCTCAGAACTCATCCCTGGTAGGCGGTATCAGATAATAATCTTGGCCAGGACTAACACCCAGTATGGGCCAGCTATACGTGCAACTATAGTCGATGACCGATCTCCAACTGGCAGAAGTTTTGCATATCTGCCAGTTCGGTTTCGCTCCATGTCTGACGAGGATATAAATGAGTTGAATGGACAAGCTGGCACGAATGATGGTTTATATATTATTTATAATGGGAAAGTGGGGAAAGCTGACATGGTTGAACTGGTTTAATTGAATTCTTCTAAAAATGAAAATTTTTTAGTCAAAATTATGAGTTAATTTTTTTTTGTGTCTCTTTCAGTTGTGCGCAATGAAGATCAAGCTGGATTTCATGAGGAGCTTCTCCCTGTTGTAACTCGTTTGTTTCCGGTTCTTTACCCTGGTCTTGGTGCTTCATCAAAAAAATTATGTGAAAGCTATTTGGCAAGCGGATTCCAATGTAACGCAGGTGTTTACAAAAAGCTTGATATACCTATACCAGTTTTGAAAGACATCCATTTTGCATTGATGACAGTTGATAGACTGTGTGAAGGCTGTGATGGCAACCATTCATTGTGGGCCATTGGTGGTGGTTTCCCTGCTTTTCTGCTCGAGAAAACTTGCATGTTTCAAGATATAGACATATTTGTGAATTGTAACAAAGACATGCTTGATTCATACACGTACTCGGTTCATACCATATACAATAATAATAGGCCCAATGTTCAGCTTGTGAAAGTGAATTTCAATATCAATTTGTTTGGGAGAAGTATCTTAGATTTAACAGTATGGCAAATGTTTGCTGCTTATGTCACTTTGAAGTTTGATTTGCCTGTCTGTAGATGTGCCTTCAAATTTTCATCTGGTTGTTTTTATGTTTTGGATATGAGCTCATTTCGTTATGTAATGCGTGGTTCTTGTCGAGGGAGGAGAAGGAAATACCTGAGTAGGATGTTGCCGTATGTCCGGACTGTGCCAAATTTGCAACAGCAAATACTTTATAATATTTTTGTAAAGTATCGCAGAAATTTGTAGACATATAATGAATATAGTTTGGTTTTAGAAACTATACCAAATATACAGGAGAATAATTTCTAGAATGTTTTGGTCAATTTTCGGTCAAGAAATTGAAATAGTCTTGTTTTAGAAGTTCTACTAAAAATACAAAAAAAAAAAAATTGTAAAATTTTTTGGTCAATTTTTGGTTTTGAGAGTGAAATAAAGAACTGAACCTTCATATGTTTTTCTTTTCAATTGCATAGATTTTGTCTGTGTAGTGCATAATGGAAATTGGTGCTTGTGCATGTGTGGTAAAATTTGTAGAGACAGAAATATTCAATATATAGCTAAAGTTACTATACAGAAAAAAAAATTATACACTGTTTTCGTTAATTTTTGGTCATGACATTAAAAAGAAGGTACTACAGCTCCATGTGTTGTTTCATTTTTCATATATTTATCTTGGGTAGTGGAAAATGGAATTTGGTGCATGTGCATGTGCATATGTCGTGATTATATTCTTTAGTGTAGATTTTTTGAATGATTCTAATAAAGTAATTGGAGGGGCACGGAAAGTTTTCCAAATTTGAAGATGGGCATAATGTTTAAAAAACATAATGTGGATGTAATGTTCATCTGAGGGAATGGGTAAACGTTGTGATGAAGACATGTATTTTTTCATGTCGTATATTTGCCTGACCTGTACTATAGAGTTTGGATTATGGAACTTCAATTATGTATACGCATATAAATAAAGTAAAAATAAACTGAGGAAGATACCTTTACTAAAATAAAGGTATCGGGAGGGGGGACGACAAATGAGCTATTCAAAATCCAAAGCAGAGTCATGAAGGCATGTTTTTTCACATTGCATATATTTGCCTAACCTAACCTAACGTAGCGCAGCGTAACCTAACCTAACCTAACCTAACCTAACCTATCCTAACCTAACCTAACCTAACCTATCCTAACCTAACCTAACCTAACCGAACCTAACCTAACCTAACCTAACTTCCCGTAATCTATCGTAACAAAATGTTATGAAATTAACCGAATTTGACTTTGGACTATGGAGGTTCGAGTATGGAGCTTGGACTATAGAGCTCTTACTATGTAGGTTGGACTATAGAGCTATGACTATGTAGCTTGTAGTATAGAGTCTGGATTATAGAGCTTGGACTATAGAGGTTGGACTATAGAGGATGAAGTATAGAGGTTGGACTATAAAGCTTGGACTATAGAGTATGGACTATAGAGCTTAGACTGTAGAGGTTGGAGTATAGAGGTTGAACTATAGAGGATGGATTATAGAGCTTGGACTGTAGAGTATGGTCTATAGAGCTTGGACTATGGAGCTTGGACTATGGAGTTTGGACTATAGAGCTTGGACTATGGAGCTTCGACTATGTATACGCATATGAATATAGTAAAAATAAACAGAGGAAGATACCTCTAGTAAACTAAAGGGATCGGGGGGGGGGGGTCGGACAAATGAGCTATTCAAAAGCCCAAACAGGGTGCTTCGCTTCGCTCAGCAATCAGCAGCCCGACCGCCAGAGATTGAAACAAAATGGCCGACTTATTAGCGGCAAGGGTCGTCCCTCAGGACCCTCCCCTCCCCTCCCCGCCAGGACCACACTTGTCCCGGCCGCTCAAAGTTACAGGGATCCCCCGCAATGTCCGAGCGCGTTGTAGTCCCCTTTCTTGTGGCGGGGCGGGCGGCGGGCGGACGGGACAGCGCTTCGCAACAAGCGCTCCCCCCCCCCCTCCCCTCCCCGCTCCTCTTCATCAGTGTTCCCGGCCTCCTTTTCCTCCTGTTGCCTTTCCGGGACACGCCTCGGAATGGAACGGCGGGCCACGTGTGTGGGGTGGGCCATGCAGGTACAGCCCTTGTCTGTCTGTCTGTCTGTCTGTCTGTCTGTCTGACTGTCCGGAAGTCTGAGCGTATTTCTGTCCGTCCGTCCGTCAGATAAGGCCTAATTAAATTGCCGTGCCGCGAGTCCAAAACGAAGGCCGGGAGGAAATGAGATGAGACTTTTCGGCGAGTGAGATAAGGCGAGGTGGAAGAAGAAGAGAGACGGAGCATGTAACGGCAGTGGGGCACGCCGTAAAAGGAGGCCAGCCACATGATTGGGGGCCTCCATGATGAAGCCGAGGAGAGAGGGCTGCCAAGCTGAGCCGAGGTACATCATGACCCCGGT